GAGAAGTTGAAAAAGACCTCGAGATCCTGAGAATTAAACCATGGACATCTCAGCCCTCACTGTATTGAAAGACAGTTGATCTGAAACTATCAACACTTTTATTTTTTGATACAAAGTTGTACCTACCAAGCCTGTTTCAGGTGGCCTCCAGCACAGTACTGCCGTACTAACTGACCAATCATATAAGGAGATATTCTGAACAGAAGAAAATTTTAGTTCAGTTAAAAGTGGGAAGTTTCTGGGCAAAGCAGTGTTTGCATCGTCATTAATAAACCAATCATCACTACTGGAATGCCTGACTAAAAACCTGAGCTGTAATAAACTTAACATAATATTATAACAAGAAAATGCATTGTTGTTTTGCAACCAACCATTAGAGTTTAAAATGACACTGCTGAAAGATATGGTGGCCATGTTGGTGGTATTTTATTAACAACATGGTGGACATGTCAGAATGATGTAGAATGCAAATGAAAATCATATATTATGTGTAACATCTCTGAGCCAAGCTCCCGGTAGCAGAGTACTGATTCTGTTATCATTGTTAGATTTTATTACAGTTAAAAAACTCATAATGATATGAGTAACCTACTTACGGTATATTAAATTTTTTCATCCAGAAAAACACATCGGTCATAATTTCTATATACTGCTTGTGATTCTGAAAAAAGTAAAAAATATAGAAGTTTAAATATTGGTTTTACACATTAATTGATTTAACAAATAGAAATGTGTTTGGATTCTAAATTTTATAGCAGCCTTGTTTCCTTGCAATTCATCAAGCACCCAAACTCTATTTGGTGGATAAGTTGAGAAAGCCTCAAAATGGGTGACTCTATTTACTAACTAATGCCCTCTATTTGAACCAACTCTTTTTAGCAGCCATTAATCAAATCCACAAAGAGGGTATTTGCAGTAATTTATACCTCAAATACTGTATGTTAACCTCTAGCGATAATTACTTTTCATTGACAATGAGTAGACTATTTGCCAAGTGTGGCTGCTTAAAAGAGGTTCAATCTACTGTCAGTACTCTGGGAGATGTCATACCTTGGGAGATGTTCTTCTWGCTAARGCTGAAAATATTCCTCTGCAAGTTTGTTCATTGATTGGTACTCTATAACGCTTCATGTCTGGGATGGATWAAAARACTGCATTAAAGTACTAAATAGACTTTTTTTCAAATTCATAAAATATCCCAATGTGTTGCCCCTTGATTTGGGGTCAACCCCATTTCAAAATATTCACAGATATTGACATTTGAAGTAAAGAAAATTGAACAACTTCAACAACACATTCAAATGCATTAAAACTCCACAGACCTTCACTGAAACAAAAGAATTATTGAGTCTACATAAAATCAAGGCTTAACCCTAGGCAGGATTTTTGAAGCAGAATCATGAAAAGAATAGTCATGGTAACTGCACTCGACCCCTCTCCTCTGGAGTCCTGAGTTACATTCCTGGATTCCTCATCACCATTGATGCTTATGCAGGATTTTATGGTCCCCCTGYAAATCCCATAATGCTAAATTCTATCCAATATTCCTTTAAACTTGTTCTCAAACAGTAAAATAATGGTTTGTTTTATGACTAAAGATTCATTTGTACAGCTGCTTTAACATTACCTTGATAAAGTTTTGGAACAAGTCTGGGCATCTTTTCTCTTTCTACCATTCTAAATAGTTCACTGTAGACCCAGCTTTGTGGGATGAGTTTCTGTTGGAATGATGAAATTATATATTTTATAATTTTCGTCAAATTTAACGTCTAGTGTCTATATCTTCAATGTGGCGTTCTGATTGAATGAGCTACTGCTAGGCTAAGTACCACAAGCTTTGAAAACCAAAACATTAAATTGAAATTTAATTCAAAACTTGTTTGCATCTATAGTTTGACTATACATGTATATTAATAGTCAAACTACACAACACRGTGTATTGCTGACTGCATACAGTATGTACGTCAGCCATGTCATGGTGCAAAACAATTTTTCAGAAATGGAAACGTGAGGSGAAAGTTTAACTTACTGCAGGAACAAGCTCCTTGTACATGTGATAGACAATCTCAGCACTTTTCTCTGACTGGGCTAATGTTACTAAAAATGTTGCACTGATGAGGGAAAATGAGATGRAAATGAGAAACAGAAAAGAGTCACTGCTCAAATTTAGTAAGTAATACTGTGATCCTAGAGTACATTGCTCAATACGACTTCAGCAATACTTTGAAATTCCACACATCTTCACAATATTCTACACRTAATTGTAACTAATCTTGAGAAGCAGAAAACCTACTTAAAAACTGGAATGTTTAGACCCCTTAATTGCATGTGACATTAAAGGAATTCACTTTAGAGGACAAAACAAAAGAATCTCAATCACCGGATTTATTGAAAACCTATTGTTTTGCCCACTCCAAATAGAGCTGCATTCCGAAGCCTGCAAGGGGTCACTTTAGTAGCCAGGGAGAAGAAAGGTTTCATGGTTAATTTGGGCCTGAATCAAGCAATTATTTTATAGCATACTTACTAGAATAATCCTCTTTTTTGTCCTAACAGAGTTTTGTCATTGGTCTCTGCCAAYGCATAGAGTCGGTGAGCTGCATTGGCATCTTGGCAAAAAAGTGCCTATTTACAGAATGATAAGAACAAATCAAAAATGTGAAAACTGGTTCATAAGTCTTCTAGAGAATGATATCAACTGAAGAAACTACTTCTGACCAGTYYTATTTCAAAAAATGCTGTTAGTCGGAGATTTGAAATCTGAGACTGAAATGAATTTTGGGCTGTGAGCTGTGAATTTAGATATGATGGAAGGTGTTAATAATTATTTAAAATAATTAATACTTCCAACAAGCAAATAGCTAAATATGCCACCAGATTTAGGTTTCAGATCCCCAACCAACAATGTATTTTTGCCATCAAACTTACTGATCCCATGGCAGTATTGAAAAATTTGACTGAAAAATGAAAAGAAAGAAAGAGATGATGGTTTTTGCTTTGAGGAGGCTATATATAGAATACAGAATATCAATTTTAATTTTAATAAACAACATGACTACAGTAACTTGCATAGTATGAAGTGTTAATTCACATGATTTTATAATTCTTGAATGAAGTCTCTGTGGAATGTAAAATCCTTACAGTACGCCCTTCACTTACCCCATTGATCTTTTTCTTGCCCACAACACATTCTCCCACCTATCTTTCTCCTGACATAACATTTCAGAACTTTCTTTGTCATTCATTTGACAAGTCATACATTCCCTCTCCATTTCTTTCTTGTTCTTCCCTCCATTTCATTTTCTTCCCTTCCTTCCTCTCCTTCCACCACCATGTTTTCCCCCCCAATTCACGACATTATGATATCTAATAATAAACATTTTTCGAGCCTCATACTAGTATATAAATATTCACAAATACCCAACAGCAAGTTAAAGAATGCACAACTTTTATACAGTGTTTCTCAATCACCCAAGTGAAATTGTATAATTTGCTATCCTAACAAAGTAGGTTTTGGTGAACGTTAATCAATGTGTTTCCATGACATTCCATAGGTACGTGCCCTTAAAAGCTTAGTGTTTTCTGGGAAACACTTTGATTGGTGTCCACCAAAACTCTTCTACGTGTTGAAAAATTTTTTCAAGGTTTTGCGCGTGATTGAAAAGCGCCGTAAAACAATACGAACACTTTAAAATTCCTTGGACCTTGAAGACATGGATATTTTACACAAAGTTGAGGGTAACCCTGAGCTGAGAACACGAATCTGGACTATTAAAATACATACTATCAGAYGAATGCTTCAATCCTGGTAGCTTGTCATATGTTTCCAAATGGCTGATAATGGCTTGAAGGACACTGTTGTTGGTATTYTGTTTAAGTTTTAAATCTCCCTCATCTTCTGATAAGAAATCAAGATTTAGACCATGGAGTTAATTGACACTCTTTTAATTCATTAGTTAATCACTTATTATAATTGTTTGTTYGTTTGTTCATTCATTTGTTTGTTTGTTCTTTGTTCATTAGTTTTTTAGTTCATTTGTTTGTTCATTTGTTTATATATTTGTATGTACATGTATCTAATAACTTCAGCCATGTACTAAGATAAAAGACAATAACTACAGTTGTAGAAAAGGGTGATTGTTCATATTTTGTTTTTTGTTTGTTTGTTTTTTTATTTTAATAACTTCCATCATGTACTAAAATAAAAGACAAATGTATGTAACTACCGCACGAAAGGGTGTTAAATGTATGTTGAGGCCACACAACAGAGCAAGACCCTTAATTAAGTGTGCCCTACTGGAGTTGCTTTTAATGAACTCACCATTTTCATACACTGCCATACTCCTGTCTCTGTAGTRTTCAGCTCTGAGAACACGACTAAATGTAGCTAATGATGGCTCTGAAATTGGAAATTATTTATAAATACTTATAACTAAATTACATGTACATGATATGAAAGATTGGACAGAATGAATGGATGGATGTTTGGATGGGTGGATGGATGGACAATGGATGGATGGATGGACAATGGATGGATGGATGGACAGTGGATAGATTGATGGATGGATGGATGGAAAATTGATGGTTGAATTGATGGATAGAAAAAAGAAAGAAGGCAAGGATAGATTTGTGGCTACATGAATGAAARGATGTAAATCAATTTATTAATCAAATATATATGACTGCGTGCTTTCTATACTCTTCATTCTAATTATTATAATTTTTCTTACCAATTCCTTTACTGCACATATCTCTAAACACTTCAAGAGCCTTGTCAGAGCCATTAGGAATAAGAGCACACAGCTTTAAAATCTCATTATAAGTATCTGAGGATAATATAAATTCAATGAATTACTTCTTTTCTTTATTAAGCCTAACTGTATTGAATTATAAATGTCAGTGGTTCTTTCAGTCAGAGTAGACTTTCACCAAAGTCTATAAATTGAAGCTTTCAGCTTTACTTGCAATGGAAGGAACTAAAAATTTGTAGCAAGTCTATTGGCCCAAGTACTCTAGCTTTAGCTCTTGCTTTCTTCATGCATGAGCCATGGAACCACATGATTAGACCTTTGCCATTGCTAAGATGACCACATGAAATGGCATTCCAGTCTCATCTAGAGACATCAAACATACATATACAGTGCCACAAGTTTATCAGTTGAGACTGTTACACATCACCCTCTCTAAATAACGTTAATGATTATTGTCGTAGAAGTGTCTATATTTGATCATTTTATTTGGTTACCACTGATGGCCAAGCCCATGGTACCTCTTATTTTGGGTGTACAACAGTCAGAATAGATCATTTTTGAATTTGTACAATCCGCTCTGTTCCTCGATGACCGAACTTGTTTAGTGAGGGTCTAGCCTCATGTCAGTGTCTAAATATTCACAAACACCAACGGTAATATAACATCTTGAACATGGACCTGTGAAGCCAACGAAGGAGACTCTGCTTGCATGGGAAGCAACTCAAAACTGAAGTATTCAGAATACTTACAGAGATCTGGAAGAACAGCAGGTTCTTGCTTCATGTGTTCAATCAAGTTCTAGTGAATAATGCCAAAAGATGAGGGCACAAGTTTCAAAGGCAGCACAACAAATGCTGATGGGAATAAACTGAAGGTTAGTGTACAGTGCTAGTGCTAGAATATTCCTACACTTCCTTACCTCTGGGGATCTCAGGTTTGATTCCTGGATCCATCATATGTAAATAACTAGACTCTGTCTGACTTCTCCATTGATTTGAGGGTTTTACTGAGTTATCTGGTTTTCCTCCATCGGCAAAACCGTACATGCTCAAATCTCCTTTACGACTTGGCAATATGCAGTACAGAAAAAGAAATTCTGCATGCACACAAAGAGTGAGAAGGCAGAAACAACATAAATTATTAACTTTAACACACTGGCACAAACCAAAGCTGAAGCCTCCCAGGTAGATAATGTTTGATAAAAAGATGARATTATGATTCTTGAGCAMTGCATMTGGAATTGATGCTTACCAATACAGCACTCCACAGTTTTTCTCCATATCCATAAAATAYATAGCTTTTGTTGATTAAWCCATTGTATGTATAAATAGAAGCTGTGTTAGTGAAATAACAAAAAAGTGCAAGTTAGACACACAGAAAACACTGACAATCAGAAAACGAGACAGCAAAAGTATAAGATGGCAYGCACTGCAATAAATGGCTCTGTTTCTTGGCATTGTGTAGATATATGAAGTGCAATAAATCAACTGTGTTGTATTAGTTTGATGTTTGTTCTCTCCCTTGCCACAAGCCAAAGGTTTTTTTCAGGGTTCTTCAGCTTCATCCCTTTCTCTTTCTTTTTTGTTGTTTTTTGTTTGTACTTTATTTGTTTGTTTGTTTTTTTGGTACTTTACTTTTCTTACTTCATTGGAAAAAGTAAAATTGAAGATACATGCACTTCTTTTTCTTCTTCTATATAACATAAAAATTCCAACTTTTACATAATTTGGTTTTAAGGTAAGTGCATACTCTACATGTACACGAGTGTAAACATAGACAATACATCAAGTGCTCTTGGAATATTTCATGCTATACTTTTGCCTTATGGATTCTAGAACTTCCAGTACCTTGAAAATTCTGTTCTCTCATATGTTCAAATAATTCAAATGCTCTTTCATAATAATTGTGCTAAACAAAAAATAGAATTGTTATTATTATCAATTCATTTAACCATTCATTCATCCATTTTTGTTATTCTGACATGCACTCATTCATTCATTCATTCAACCATTCATTCATTTCTTCATCAAAATATCAAATGCAATACACTGTTAATAACTCAGCCCCTAGAAAGTTAACTAACAACAGAGATAGCAGCCATATTGGTGTACATGTACGTACCTAACAAAAGAAACTAATGGCAAAGTTATTGTCAAAGCTACACCAGTAAGGCAGCTGTGACGTCATGTGAAACCGATCTACAGCTCCTCAGGTCATGCAGTCAATACTGTGATCCTTGACCACACACAGACTTACCTTTAGTAAAGCAAGAATCATAGCATCGTAAGATCTGGAGTTTTTGTCTTCCATACTTTTAAATAACTTCTCCGCATAATTATCCATGCTGAAAGCAAAAATAAAATATAAGTCAGAGTAGTTGGACCATCAGTGGCAAATCTAGGGGAGTAGGGTGGGAAACATGCCCCACTCCCCACCCCATCCCCTCTTCTGCATAAAACATAAAGCGTGCACATAATACTTTAACTTATTATGAAAAAATGATCTATTACTGTACCTCCATGTCCTCTTGTGCCTCACATTCTCTACCTGAAATGATTATGCAAAAGTATAAAGATTTTCCTGAACCTTGCCAGGATTGTGCGTTTGAGATTTAGAAAATGGGGGGGGGGGGGGGGGGGTGGGTGAATGAATGATTAGTTGTAATGATTGGTTAATAGAAAGAGAAGTAAATGGAAAGATGAACTGGATGAATGTATGAAGAATGGATGTAAGATAGACAACATAAAGGGTGGGAGAGTTGATGAATATGAGAGGAATGGAAGAGAGGGAAAGAAAGAAGGAAATAATAAAGAAAGAGAGAAATGGAATGAAATGGGAGAGAACCTAGAATGGAGTTTTAAAAAGAAAAAAGGTAGCAGGGTAGTGAGAGAGAAAAAGAGATGAAATAGATGAAAGAGGGAGGGTTTGAGAGAGAAAGGAATAGAGAAAAAATGGGAAAATAAATGGGAAAGATCTCATGTAAATACATAACAAAAGAGGATATAAGTTCTCACCTCCTCCTCATCAGAAGAACTCTCATCCGAAGATTCACTTGAAGAACTCTCTCCTTCTAAACTCCCACTTTTCTGATGAAATAAACACAGAAAGCTTCTAGTTAAATATTTTTACGAGTTAAAATTGAATAATAATTATTGATAACAATGTTGTAATAATATTATAACAATTTTCAATCAAAGACTCACCCAACTAATCAAATTTGGTTCCTTAACATAATTATGATCAGCAGTGAATTGAGCAATTGTTATTGTTTTGCACAATGCCATTAATTCCATATCATGGCATTGTCTTACGCTATGCATAAACCCTACTCTTAATTTGATGCCAATTATTACCTACCACAGTATCTACAGGTTCGGCAGCACTAATAGTACCATAGTAAGCAACCAGATCCAACAAATCATTTCTGGTTTGAAGTGAAACAGGGACTCCTGAGAAAATATATAGACTGAATAAAAAATCTTTTAGATTAACTTTAAATATAATCAATAAAAAAAAACTTCACACTGTAATGGGGTAACTTGAATTACACAGAATATAAATTTTCATCCAGGCCATTAATTTTCAGATCTAAGATCGAATTAGAATTTAGAAGTTTATTTTCTTGAAAGGGAGGAAAACCTGAGAACCTGGAGAAAAAACCTTTGAAGCACAGGAGAGAACCATCAAACAACTCTACTCAGACACATATAACAAGTACAAGAAACCCAGGTTGCATTGGTGAGAGGCAAGCGCTCTCAGCACTATGCCACCCATGCTTCTTCGGATTGTTTCTTTGGTTTGCTACCTGTGGTGGGTTAATCTCTTTTTTAACGACCCCCTCATTTATTACACAGGGATCCTAAGCACAATAAAGTAATGAAAAAACAGAGATTCCACCTGTGAATATGGTAGTGTAAGTGTGCTAAGTGTTCATAGCTTACCATCTTTAAGGAGCTTTTCATAACCTGTGATTGCTTCTTGTGCCTTCATTTCTGCAATGATGTCTACAACAGGGGAAAAATTTTTGTTTATCCATTTACTCAGCAGTACACTTACTGCATGCCCCCTACCCCCTTCTCCCTACACCCTAATCCCCTACCCCCCTATTCCTAACTCCCTACCCCCCAATAACCAACTTCCTAAAGCCTTGCCGTTCATCCAAGCTCACTCACTTCCTCCCTTTTCCCCCTCTTTCCTTCCTTCAATCTTGTACTGTAATCTCCATACATGTATACATATCAATCAATCTTTATTTATATGTAGTACCATATTTGCAACAAAATGAAGAAATAAAAAAACATGTATGTGTTGTATGCAGTTAAAAAGCATGGGGAGATTGACAGAACATGAGAGAAGTGTTAAAAGGAGAAGCACAAGGACAAGTGGAGTGCTTCTCAACACCTCTTGATTGTTCTGCCAATCTCCAAGTCCTTTAAAACTCCACTCAGCACAGCAAGTTTTTTTATTTCTTTTGTAAATTACAAGTGGCAACCACTATTTTTATATGGGAATGATGCAATAAAAGTGGTTGTTTAGATACTGTGTGCTCTCATAAAGCATGTGCTACCAGTCAATCACAAAACAAGATTTTATAACATCTATATAAATATATCAGAAAATATTATTTATTCATCTATTTCACCCCGGCCTGCTCTCAGTCTGACCTCTAGCTCAGCTGGAAGAGCATCAGTAGTACAATTCCGAAGGTCGTGGGTTTGAATCCCAGCGAGGTTGGAAATTAATTTTTCTGAATTTAATTCCAAGGGCTTTCGCCCAGAAAAACCTGGTTCCCAAGCACTATAACTTACTTCTATATCTTCAACTATTTCATTAGTGCTACGCGGTCCATATACTCTCATCTTTATAAATATATTGATCAGTTTATAACAGAATTCATAACAACAGACATTATATCACATGGACTAGACAGAAGTTGGTACTAGCCAGTGTAGTAGCCATAGGATAAATGAGACAGTTAAAAAAATTATATATTCATGATGATAAAAAATACCTTTTAGATCCTGTTCTGTTTCTATTGCTCCGCCCTGGTTCATATCTGGCCAGCCCTACAAACACCAGACACACACTTGCAATATATGTTTATGTTAATATTGTTGTGTTTGTTTGTTTTTTTTTTTCAAAAGAAAGGCTTTTTAATTCAAACAAATTTTTTATCTTTGTTTGGCACACGCATCCTTTTTTTTAAATTTATCTTATTTTATTGATTTTTATTAAGTTATTAATATGATCCGGAAGTACATTGCCAGCCACTACCAATGATTTGGATTTGATGTATCGTTGGCCACAGTAAAAATTTCCAAACATTTTCTATTATCTACAGTGACAAAATGAAACCTTCTTGTATATTTTCACTCTTCGATCTCAGTCATATATTCATGTCATAATGATGTGAGAAGAGTTGTTTGTTGGTTCTCTGTGTGTTTTGTGCTGTGTCTTACTCTAGGTTCTCCAGTTTACCTCTCACCACAAGAATCAACTTCTAAATTCTACATTAGGAATTAAGTGGATAAAAAGCCACTCGTTGGAACTATTATGCCATTGTTACCACTCTTTTCACTGCTGTGTGCTGATCAAGACAACAGTCGTAACAGGGAAATAGGGCAATACACTGCTGCCAGTCAGAGAAAATAAAGGTACCGACCAATTTATTTGATTGACAGAAGTGTATTGCTCAATTTCCCTGTCTCGATTAGCACGAAATAACGTAAAATTAATGAATGAACTTGGCTTTCCTTGGATAAAACTCTAACTCACAAATACTTACTGGTTCAGCCTTTCTCATGGGAAACAACTGTGGATATTTGTGCAGGATAAAGTCTGCAGCTTTCAACCCTGAAGTTCGGGCTATCTTACATTCTTCCTATACAACAAACAAAAACCAGCATCATTAATAAGTGATATACAATACGAGTAGCTAGTCGATCTGTATAATAAGTGATTTTGACAATCAAACAATCGATAAACTTTATTTAAAGTGGGTGACATATTAACCAAGTGAGTTATCTAACTTACTGCCTCCACTTTGAGGTTTTGATAGACAGAGAACTTTTGTACATCAATGTAACAATATCAATATCTTACCCTTTTCCTTGGTGACTTGGGGTATAGACCAAAATCTTCAAAAAGTTCTCTAGGTGGTGCTAGTGCTGTCTAGGTTTCCAAACAGAGAAAAAAATCAGTTAAGTCATAAACATGTGCAGCATAATCTAAAGGCCTTTCTTAAATTTTCCTTAGACTTGAGGGGGCCCTTCAGGGAGAATTGCACATGCAGACCCAATTGCAAGTCCTGCTAGGCTCAATGTAGTATGTGAGTAAGAGTTGCTTGTTGGGTCTCTTCTGTGTTTCGTGGCTTTTTCTCCAGGTTCTCCAGTTTTCCTCCCTCAATAAAAATCAACTTCTAAATTCCAAAGTGAAATCCAGTGGATGAAGAGCTACTCTGTTGAATCCACTGTTATTTCACAATAAATGTCTACTCCTGAGGGAATAAATTTTGGCTCGATTATTTGGCTTGCATGAATACCCATAACTCATATACCATAACTTATATTTGTACCTATCCCCATTGAATTGCGAGTTGTACCTAGAAAATGCATTTACATTTTCAGAGATTGAAAACATAGTGCATTATAGTCTATCTTGGGTACAAACATCTTTTGTTCATCGTGTTGCGATGTGGAACGTATATGGTGTGGTCTCCACACAAGCTAGACCACAATGTATCATGTTTATCAAACTCAAAAAAAAGTGCAACAAGCTCAAGGCAATCATCTACTGCTAATGAGCTTTGGTCAGGTTAACTTGGCATGGTCACCCTGTGCTTTTGGCTTGACTTTTGAGTCATTGATAGTAGTCCTACTTACTGGCTGTACTGTGCCTGCCAAGACTTTTAGTACTGCTAAAGGGTCCCTAAAGATAAAATAACTGGCAATGAAATGGTGTTAAATTTAATTAACAAATCACTAATTAGAATATTCAAATTATTCATTTTGTAAAATAGTTGCAAATTCACCATCCGCAAGTACAGCAGTAGTACAGCTCAATGAGGGTAGCACTGGGAATAATAAGAAGGCATATCTGCAGCAGCCAGCAGCTATGCAATACGGCAAGTATAGCAATTAGTGCAGCTTTACTGGTCAAACTGGAAACAATGAGAAGGTGCTTTTGGCAGCAGCTATTACAGTCCATATATGAACCTGGAGCACAGCTTTAACCAATTTAAAGTAGTTAGGGTCGATTGAAAGCAGGGAGGAAAACTGAAGAGTGCAAAGCCCCTTAGTGTTAGAGAGAGAACCAGTCAACGCCACTCTCACATCGGGCAGCTAGGCTTTAAACCCTTAAACTCAAAAGATATGAGACAAGCATTTTACCACCACCCCATCATACTCCTGTAGGCCTGTGCTTATTCGCTTGCAATGATTGATTCATTATATTTTTTACCTTTTCGTTGACTTCTCTCCATCTGAATGGAATAACCAAAATGAAAAACATTATGAGAAATAGACAATACGTAGCTGCCAATCAGAATGATGACATCCAACAAGCAACTAGCTTGTTTATTCTACACATTATTCATATATTTTATATCATTAACATCATCCTTCTCATTATCTGATCTTCATTATAAACACCATTAACATTGTGAGCTAATATTATTGCTACTACCATGATCATCATCATTTTTTTATTCTTTTCATTATCATTGTAAATATCATTAATGATTAACCTTATGTGTTTGTTTGTGGGTAAGCTTATATAATTAACAAAATAGTAAAAAGTACTGTGGCTGTGTTTTCACTAGGACAATATAGAAAAAAATTATATATTTGATTGGCTCATAATTGAATTAATTGTCCAGGTACTGACTGGAAATTAAAGTGCCTATCATGTCTACAGGATCTCT